TCTCTTTTTCATCCAGTCCTTTGGTATCACTCTCGGCGGGAAAATTAGCTCCATCGCAATTATGTCTAATTTTGACTCCTTATATCAACGCAGTCTATTTTTCACTCCCGACCAACAAGACCTTCTCTTCGCGACCCTTTCATCTCCGAATCAGGCGGGTAAACCGCAAGAGGACACGACCTTTGACGGCGTACCTGTCAAAACACAGCAGTCGCCACATATGGAAAACCGAAACGGCGCGTCCTCTAATGAACTGTTCAACTCTCCTTCCGATCATGCTGCTCCTGGGTCAGGGCGTCTAAGTTTTGGCGATGATAGCCCCTTTCTGGATTTTACTCTTGATCCCGACTTTGAAGCTATTGAGGAAGATCTGATCGGTGATATTCCTACCATGGAGGTTCGTGAGAAAAGAAAGAGCATCGACGGAAAAGAGGAAGAAGAAAGTGGGAAAAAGAGAAAGGAGAGCGATGAGAAAGTGGCAAAGAAACCTGGGAGGAAGCCTCTAACATCAGAACCTACTTCGGTGTGTAATCCTATCTCCCTTCCCGCATTTACATAGCCGGTTTCATTGACCACAGTTTACATCTTCAATAGAAGCGTAAGGCACAGAATCGGGCGGCCCAGCGAGCTTTCCGTGAACGTAAAGAAAAACACCTCAAAGATTTGGAAACTAAGGTTGAGGATCTGGAAAAGGCGTCCCAGGCGGCCAACAATGAGAACACTCTACTTCGTGCTCAGATAGAAAGGCTGCAGGTTGAACTCAGAGAGTATCGCAAGCGCCTTTCATGGATGAGCAGCGGGAACAACTATTCCCTACCTCCAACTGCTGCCACCCGAAACAACGATCTTCGCTCATCACGATTCAATAACGACTTTTCTTTCGAGTTTCCAAAGTTCGGTGATCTCCCGGGCGCAATGTTTAACAATAACTCTTTGGCAAAAACCCAAGGTCCTCCAAATTCGTCTCAAGTATCGTCTTTGCCGGCAATGCAATATAAAGCGCCAGGCGTTTTGAATAGGGATATGTTTAAGGGATCGTATGGCATATCTGCCCAGTCCACTGGTTCGGCGTCCGCGGCAAATTCCCAGATCGAGGCATATCGTTCGCTTTACGGACGTGGTGCTGGTACTACTAAAAATGTCTCCACCTCCAGCCATTTTAATGGAACTGGCTCTGCTGCTAAACCGCAAAACGGCACTGATCAAACTAAACGGCAAGGCAGCTACTCATCCCATAAATCTGGACTTCAAGGTGCATCCAACACAAATTCTCCTTCTACTTCCTCAGAATCTCATCATGGCCGAACTTCATCCATTGGGACATCTCCCGAGCCCGCTGTGAACTCACCTCAAACAGCAAAGGTCAATCGCCAATCAGCACCAAATATATCCGGCAATAGCCCCGCTACCCTAGACGAATGTGAGAAATCCTTTTATGAAAAGCTCAACGAAGCGTGTGGGTGTGCTGAAGATCCAGTTCCGGTAGCCTTGTCCCGTCTAAAGGAGAGTCCGAATTCTTCTAACCAGCAAACGAACCCTGAACGCAACACCGATGATTCTCTTGGACTCAACCTTCTTGTTCAGCAGAATGGTGGTCAATTCGACCCAATCCTTTTCAATGATTATCGCGAACCACAAGATGCGGTCTTGTCTCAGGATTTTGGGAGCTTCTTCAATGATGCATTCCCTCTTCCAGAGCTGGGCAACTCATTCCCGAGCTTCGACCTTGGCACTAGCCCAGCTTCAAAACCTGATCTGATCACTCAGATCGATCGCTCCTTAGATGCTGATGAGGAAGTCGTTCCCGGCGAGGACAGGTCACAAATGATGACTTGCACCAAGATATGGTTAGCCCTCTTTCCATTTCGCGAATACATCGGCCTATGTATGACTAACTTGAAATCTATTAGGGACCGCTTGCAATCCATGGAGAAGTTCCGTAATGGTGAAATTGATGTCGACAATCTATGCACGGAATTACGCACCAAAGCGCGCTGTTCTGAGGGCGGTGTTGTCGTCAACCAGAAAGATGTCGAGGACATAATGACCCGAGCTTTATAATCGCACAGTATGATTAATTGGAAAAACGGACAAACGAAGATAAAAAAGTTATCTTTATTTCCCTTTGCCTACTTTCACGAGATTCCCACCCCTCCGCAGGTACATCTATTTATTTGCTCTTCTTGCCTACAGGCTTTTTTAACCCTATGACACCATATGGTTGTGTTAGGGGACTACGACTGGCTATTGAATATGTGTGAATTCCGTTTTCCTTTATCTTATCGTCCTTGGTATTC